CAAAACCAGCGAGTGCGCGACATCGCGATTTATTCGAACAAATCCATAAATATTAAAAGCGGTAAACGATTAAATGCACTATAGGTTTTTTAAACATGTTAATAAATCATATAATTAAGCCAAATTTAAGTCAATAAAGTGACCGTGCTAGAACCATCAGACTCGGGGAATGCCTTACACCTTCTCCCCGGTCAACAGAATTCCTTACCCGGACTTTGTTTTCGCAGACCAATAATAAAAGAGTCAAACCTTCCTTTGACTAGGGATTCAAATAAAAGGTGACTTGGAACACCGACAAAAAATCAATTCCAAGTGGCGACTCTGTAAATAAAATAATCCCTATTTCAAAAATTATCACTTTAATTGAAAAAACTCTTTAACCCACAATCCAAACACATTATCTTTGTGGGGGGTAAAAAGGAGGTGCGACAGCATAAAACATAGTGATTTAGATGAACTTGATCGAAAATAATTAGTTCAGATAAATCGGGTGTCACGAGACTAGATCCGCCTCTGCTACCGTGCCATTAGGATGCAAAAATGACTGTTGGATTTATGATCTAAGCTCCCTTTTCCCCCTACAAATCTGGCTATGTGAAATCACGAGGATAAAACCCATTTTCTCTCTCAGCCCACTGTACACTAAAAAACTTCCAAAAATGAATTTAGGACATACTTAGTTATTATTTGAATTTTTAGTTAAAATTGTCCCTTATATTTGATAATAGGTTTAAATTTGTCATTCCTATATGGTCCCTTTGAGTTTGTAAAAGTTGAGCACTCAAGTGGATTGCCCAAAAGTAACAATAATTCAATTATCATCACGTAACTTTCTCATTCTTCAATTATTGTTCGTGAGATAAAATAAAACCAATTGAGTAGAGTAGATACTCATATATTCAATTACTATTATTTCATATTTGAAACATGTTAGCTATAACGTTCGATTAGATAGATATCCTTGTCTTAAAAAATAAGGTCAGCTTATGATTCTCAACTTTTACAAATTCAAGATAATATATAAAGGAGAAATTTAAATATATTCTCAAAAGCAAGAGACAATTTTGACTAACAATTCGTTCTTATTCTATCGAACATGAATAAAGAATTCTGACTTCATCGACTTGATTACTGCACTCCAGAAAAGAAAAAGATAAAAAGTAGTACTAATATTTTAGTTATCAAAATATCTGAGAGATCGAGAAACCATAAAGCAAGAGAGCAATTAAGTTGACATATTTGAATAGAATCTAGATCTCCAAATTAGATTAAGCTAGTCCGCAATTTTCTTTTGATACTTTTTTCATATAAAATTGGCTTCCCAAGGTAGAACTCAATAACTAAGTTTTTGGATAATATTTAGGGCCTTTTTTTCATTCAGTGGAAGCTATTGACTTCTCGTGAATTAGTTACCATATTGTATTGTTGGGGCAAAGGGTAGATTTACAACAATTGTTGTCTCTTCATCTTCTCGAAGGCCATAGACAAACACCTTCACTGTCTCTCACTGCTTTAGCTGCTCTACTCTAAAACGCTACTTTTTCTATTCAATATAATATGGAACATGCAAAATAATCGCAAAAAATTACCTTTACGTAATTTGCAGTTTTTAGATGTAAAATAATAGCAACTCTAAGGGTCGTTTGGTAGGAGATATAAGAATAATACTTAATAAGGTATATTGGTAATGCTGCTATTAGTAATGTTGAGATTAATTATACTGACATTATTTCTTATCCACTGTTTGATTTGATATATTAAAGCATTGCATAATTTCTAAAAAAAAATAGGTTGCTTACAAAAATACCCTCCACATTCTTTAACTTTGTACACTATTTTTATTGCAATAGTTTTATTACCTCCCACATTCTTTACTCTCTCTAAAGCCTTTACAGAAGAGCATTTAAAAAAGAAACTGATTGAAATATTAAAGTTAAAAGAGAAGAAAAATTTAATTGCTTTGACATATAATACAAAATATCAATTATTAAAAAATGGGTAGATTCTTAACAAATAAAGAAAAATCAGTTTATACTTTGAACGAATTTAAAATCAAATTTGGTATTATATATGAAATTAATTTGATTATAGTAGAATGATAAAAGGGAAAAAATAATTAAAATATCACAATATAAAAATATACAAGATATGGAGAAAATATTTTGAATAAGTTTTGAGGGATTTGAGGGGCAATTATGTCTTTAACCATGTTTATGCAAGTATTAAAAATTCTTGCATTGCTAATACCATGATTTGCTACGTATTAGTTATACATAGAATAATACCAAATAAGATACATAACTAATACAAGTATTAGTTAAAAAAATATACCAAACAAGGGATTAGTAATGCACAAAGTTAATGCTTGCATTGTTTTTTCCTAATACCTCCTACCAAACGACCCGTAAGTATTCTAAGTAATTCAAAGTAGGGGATTTGCAGTCGTACCCTATATTTGTACTACCTTTTAACTTGTACCCTATTTTTTAAAATTATTAATTTGGTAGCCATCTCACAAAAAATCCGTAATAATATGACAATTACACCCTTGACAAAAGATATAAAACGATCTCCTCTTCTCCTCTTAGCAACTTTATAAAAAAATCAGAAACTTGTCCAGATTCATCTTCAGAATCACACTTGCATGAAATTGTTTTACTTTGAAGCTAAAACTTCATGCTAATGTAGCATGAAGTTGTTTCACATTGAAGCTAAAACTTAATGCTAATGCATGCTGAAGTTATTTATCCTGCAGTCTACAGTTTTGCCATGAATTTTATCCGAAACTTCAGTCTAAGCTTGCTGAAGTTATTTAGTTCATTTGTTAAAACTTTAGTCTAAGCTTTCTGAAGTTATTTAGTTCATTTGCTAAAACTTCAGACTAAACATGCTGAAGTTATTTAGTTCATTTACTAAAACTTCAGACTAAACATGCTTAAGTTATTTAGTTCATTTGCTAAAACTTCAGACTAAACATGCTTAAGTTATTTAGTTCATTTGCTAAAACTTTAGACTAAACATGCTTAAGTTATTTAGTTTATTTGCGAAAATTTCAGACTAAACATGCTTAAGTTTTTTTGTTCATTTGCTAAAATTTCAGACTAAACATGCTTAAATTTTTAGTTCATTTGCTAAAACTTCAGACTAAATATACTTAAGTTTTTTTAGTTCATTTGCTAAAATTTCAGACTAAACATGCTTAAGTTTTTGTCTTGTAGTATGTAATTTTCTAATGAGTTTTTGCTAATGTATGCTGAAGTTATTTAGTTCATTTGCTAAAATTTCACACAAAACATGCTGAAGTTATTTAGTTAATTTGCTAAAACTTCAGACTTAACATGCTGAAATTTTTTAGTTCATTTGCTAAAACTTCATACTAAACATGCTTAAGTTTTTGTCTTGCAGTATGTAATTTTCTAAAGAGTTTTTGCTAATGCATGCTGAAGTTATTTAGTTGATTTGCTAAAACTTCATACCAAAGCAGTCTATAGTTTTGTCCTGAGTTTTATCCGAATTTTCATCTAAACAAGCTGAAATTTTTTAGTTTATTTGCTAAAACTTCAGCCTAAACATGCTTAAATTTTTGTCCTTCAGTTTGTCAATAGTCTTTTATTAAATAATAGCAAAATCGTCTTTTTAAAACGTTTTTAACAAAAAAATGAGTACGGATACAAACGAAAAAACAAAACGGGTATAAGTTAAAAAGGGACAACCAAATAGGACGCCCCATGCAATTTTTACTTCAAAGTACTCCCTATGTTCACTTTTAGAGTCCGTTTGGCCTTGAAAAGTTTCACTTTTTTTCGATTTTTTTTTTTTTCGAAATCGGTGTTTGGCCATAAAATTTTAATTTTCACTTGAAAAAAAAATCATTTTTTTCCGGAGTTTTACAATTCTTATGTCCAAACGCCACTTACTTGCACACAATAGACTTTGCACGACTCTTAAGAAATAATAAATGAATTGCATATTTTATCATAGTACCTATAATAATAATAATATTATTTTAAAAAGTTTTCGGAAATAATTTGTGAATGAGTAATTAAAAATATATGACCATTTCTTGGTTTGCTAAAATTGATAAATTAAAATTTCAATATATTGTTTTAGTACACTGAAGAAGTAAAAGTAACGGAGAGATAAATTCTTTGGTGACAACTGACAACAAAAACAAAACATGTAATCCACTCATAACTGTTTCCTCGAGATAACAAACTTTCAGGCCTTTCAACCAATTAACTCAATCCTAGATAATATAGCTTGAATTCTTGATCAGCGTACAAAATCTTAAGTGTAATACTGATTTTTCGTCTCTACTTTTCAGGTAAATGTAAATATGCACGTTGTATGTAGTGTACTTTGACTTTCTTTTAAAATTTATATTGTTAAATAATAATAATAATAATAATAATAATAATAATAATAATACGTACTCCTATGAAACTATCCACTACGTTTTAAACCGTGTACTGTTGGCCCTTGAAAAATCTCTATGAAACAATATGAGTAATGAGAATTTATATAACCTACTTCAACCTAGTTGGATTGAGGCATCTAGTCGATTGTTGTTGTATTTAAATTCCCTCTACTTAAAGGGGTTGTAATTAAAAAAAAAAAAAAA